GGAGCCTCTGGGGAGGATTGGCTGGGTGCTGGTGATGCCATGAAGTGTAGGAAGCCAACATTTGCAAACAGTCAACACTTATCAGTGGGTGGGAAGTACTTGCAGTTTGCCAGAGCTATTGGTGTGGCTGTTAGTGAAGTTGGCACCTATTCGTGGTGCTGATTTATTGTGAGAGGTTAACAGTATTAATGCATTGATAATGAGAGAATACAAAGGTTTGAAGGTAAAACCTGAATTTGGTAAATCAGGCTCTTCCCAGCATGGGCCACACCCTTGTTTGAGTTGGGTACCCCAGATACCAAGTATGTTAAAGTGAAGGTATGTCTGTGGCTAATGATAATCATGTCAGAGAAATTCTGAACCCCTACCTAAACTTGGGGTTGGCAGACTGTTAGGAGTCAAAGAAGGTATTTCTGGAACTTTCAGTCGGGATTCCTCATTCTTGATCCCAGTCTGGAAAGCAGTCTGAGGCTCCTTGTCCATTTGCTCTATGTTCTGCTGCTGCATCTCTTCCTGGTAGCTTGAGTGAGTTCAAGTTCAGAGGATACTTAATTAAATACACCTGCCTTTCACATATGAAGAATATCCTTTTTAAGCTCCTACAGCAATATAAACCATTTAATAAACTTATTCTGCTAAGATTTGGATGGTCATGTTGAGTTGCCTACATATATAATAACTCTCAGGCATTGTCAACAGGATATTGATGGAGTATAATTAATGACCAAAGTGATCAGTTAAAGGGACATGTTTGTTAACCACATCATTCCTCTTTGCTCCTCTTTGTCTCTTTTCTCCTGTCAGGGCATACATGTTGAAGCATGCAGGGAATAGGCAAGCATTGCCTTGAATTTGCCATTTTTCTACTTATTATATCAGACTTACATAGTACCTGTGTGCCAGCACTAATATTCCAGCATGAAGGAAGTATGAATAGAAAACTATGTATGTAGTCATATGTCACATGCTTGCTAAGTTCAAAGTCCTGGCTCTAGATAATTATTTCTTGAATTAATCAGTTCAAACAGAACTAAGATAAATCACTAGTTGCATTTTCCTCTTCATGTGGCATTTATCTTAGCTTGTCTGCTCAGTGGATTGTGAAAGAATGTAAACAGTTTGTCTCTGATTTGACATCACACTGAAGTGAACTTAGAAGTAGTTTCAGCAGCAGCATACTGTCATCAAAGGAAGATTCAGTTTTTACATGTTTAGATGTTAACTTTCCCACAGGGCATGTATTATCAGGCTCGCTACTGTTGCCATTATTTGATGGTTTTAGTTTTAATGAGAAGGTCATTGTCTGATCAACGATGGATTTGGGAGTTATAGGAATATTTGTCCTGCATAAAATTTCATTGTTGAAGTTGAAAAGGCTCATCAGGTTTTTTCAGCTTTTCCTGTTTCTATACTGTAATTATGCCTCTGTTTTTCTCAAACTTCCCTTCAGACTCCTCCACTGCCTTCATGAAAATGTAACAAGAATGACATTTATCACCTGCTTGCAGCAAAAAGAAAGAATGAATGTGCTGTAATAGTAAATGCTATAGATAAAGAGTGTGCTACTGTTTTGGAAGAGAGAATTAGATTTGATATTTTGTGGACCAGCATACAAATGCATGGCTTTCCCATCAAATGACTGCATCTTTTCTTCCAATGATAATGAAAGCACTGGATATAATTCAAGGGAAAAGACAGCTTTCAGACATCTGTTACTTACTAGTTATTCGATTTTCTATTGTCATATTAATGAGAAAATATTCTTTGTCAAGTTGCCAGATTTTTCCATATTTGATTTTCTTCTTTGCTGCACCTCTGAAATCCCAGCTCTGGATCGCATAGCTTTTTTTAATCCATTCATTAATCTGGTACTAATGATTCTGGTACAATTGATAAAGTTAATGAGATGAGTAGAAAATAAATTACATTAATTTCTTAGGGATTATATAAGCAAACATAGTTTCCCATATGAACCTCTGTGACTCTTGATCCATTGTTGACTAAACAGTTTATGTCAAAGAACTGTGTGCTAAGTCCAGTTTATGTTTATCTGACTTAGATAACTTAGCTTGTAACTGATTGAAAATTTTAACGCGATTGTGTAAAGAAAATTTCAAAGAGACTGTACTTTTGGTATGATCTGATTTTTTCAGTTTTATTTCATATTTTTTGATGGAAAGGTTTTCAGGAGGTGATCTAATCCAACCTCCTGCAGGGATGAGAGCTTTTCAATTTAAACTTTTACCATAGTTCTTGATTTAGACATCAAAACCTGAAAGTGGATCTTTGCAAAATCGCTTTGTGACCTCTTGTAAGAGTCGGTCCGGAGTTCCCCTTTTTTGCCTCACGACCATCGCAAGAAGACCCCAAGGACCCCCACCCAGTTCTGGCCTGGTCGAGGTGGATGCTTGCCAAGGGACTGTTTGCAGGTGCTCGCTGTGCTCCATGGCACACTGCTCTCAAGCAGGCACTGGCTGGAGTGACAGGTTCTGTACACCCGTTTCTCGGAGCAACCCTCACAATGGCCCATAAATCTTCCCACCTCTTGGCCAGAAGCCACTCGCTTTGGAAAAGGACTATAAAAAAGTGACTCTCTGGAGAAGCTTTTGAGTACTCCCCACAAATGAAGACTCGTCTATTGGCTGAGGACCACGAGGGTGTCCATCTCATCTGTTGGTAGCTATTCCCCCATCCCCCTCTTTTTCTCTCTATACTTTGTTTCCTGTATCTCTCCCCTCTATTGCAACTGAGTTGTTAGCATTCAGTAAAAATGCATTGCTGTGAGTAAACTGATTTGTCCCCTGCTGTTTGCCTTTTGCTCCTCTGAGGTCCAAAAACGAACCATCACAACCCCCGCCCTGTGTTGGCGGATTGTGACACCTCTGAAAAACATCTGCTTCATTTGGAGAAGTATCAAACCTCAACAGAGCAAGGGCCTTTGTGAAAATCACTGCTAATGAATGTATTAATAATGTGGTATGACAAGGACTTAGAAGATTAAATATTCATGTTCACACTGCAGTGTTAAGGTGCAAACTTCTTATTGTGCCAAAGATTCTTAAATAAATGATCTTGGCTTTGGACTGATGTGGAATAAGTTTAGATGGCTGTGACTCAGTTTAGATGGCTGTGACTCAGTACTGCAATAGAGCTGTTTATTTCTTGTGTGCTCAGCATCAGCATTGTGCTGCATCACTAAATATTATGATTGCAGGTCATTCTTTTCTGAACGAAGAGCAAGTGATATGTGGAATTGCATCCTAAGTTATTGAGTATAGTTGTTGATTACTGAATAATCATTATATGTTTTTTCTAACCAATGTGAGTTTATTACTATTTCATTACTTACTGTATACTGTAGTTACTTGTAATAACTAGAAGCTTTTGGTCTTAGTAGGTACTGGACAACGAAGTGAGAAGCAATCCTTTCTCAAAAGGGCTTTCATTGTAAGCCCTGGAATCTGCAAACATTCTAATACATTATATAATTACACTGCTTCTCCTGAAATTTTCTGCACTATCTGCCAGAAGTCGTTGGAGATACATGGTTTGAAAAAAGTGAGTCGCTACTGTTGACATGCACAAGAGGAAAACCAAAGACGTTTGAGAAGATTATTCCAAGCTGAGTTTTCCTCAGGATAGCAGGAAGCAAGTCCCGAACATACAAGCAAGTACCCTGGCTACATAAAATGTGCTGGTCAACAATGTGGTCACCTGAGATTTTAAAAAAGAGAAAAAGGTTAAAGTAAAATTTTAATGTTCAGGACCATCTTGGTCTTAGCCATGAGAATGGTTAGATGGTTTTTGGCTACAACTACCAAAGAAAATAGGCTGAGATTTCTGTTTGATTTGGAAAATTCAAGTCCCAAAATAGTTCTGGTTTAACGGACAAAATAGTTCTGGTTTAACAGACTTAAATCACGACAAGCTGTAATTTTGCGGGGACAAGAGATGAGAACAAGGAGAGCGTTGGGGTGAGCATTTTCCAGTCATGAAACCGTTTGGAGAAGATGGTGTGACATGAAGAGGCTGCTGGAGGTGCTGAGGGAGGGGAGGCGAGGCCGGCACGGAGCCGTGAGCAGTGGGAGGTGAGGCACTAAACGGACGGAGAAACGGAAGGAGCTGAGGAATGGGGCCGAGGAAACTGAATGGGTTGTGGCGGCCGAGCGGGCTGAGGGGGATGAGAAGCAGGGTTGTGGGGACAGAAGGGGCTGAGGGGGTCGAATGGAACGGGGAGCGGGGCTGTGGGGACCGAAGGGCTGAGGGGGTCCAATGGAACGGGGAGCGGGGCTGTGGGGACCGAAGGGCTGAGGGGGTCGAAGGGAACGGGGAGCGGGGCTGTGGGGACAGAAGGGGCTGAGGGGCCGCTCTGCGCTTCCCTCCCGCTGCCGCCACGCGCCGCCCTCCGCCGGCGGGAGCCCGCCCGCCCCGCTCCCACCGCCCCGCCAGGGGGCGCTGCTCTTTCCCGGGCGGCGCTGAGGCTGCCGGGAGCCGCCATCTTCTCGGAGAGCGCTGCCGAGAGCGGCTCTGGCGCCGGGAACCGGAAAGGACGGGATGGGCCTGGTGAGTGCCTGCGGCAGCGGCGGGACCGGGGCGACGGCGGGACCTGGAGGCGGGCCGGGTTTCCCGGCTACCCGCGCTGGGGCTCTCGCTGCCCCGGGCGGCTCAGCGGGGCTCTCCGCGTGGAGCGGGGGGCTCGGTCTCTCAGTTCTACCCCCACTCCCACGGCGGTGCCGGGGATGCCGAGGGCCGGTGCGGCCGCCGCTGCCCCCGGCCGGCGGGGCGTTGCCATGGGAACGGGCGCGCCGCCGCCTGCGGGAGCGCCGGGCCGGGCCCGGCCGGGCTGGGCTGGGGCTGCTCCCTCGGAGCCCAGACCCGGTCCCGAGCCGTGCTCCGGATCGAACCTTAGTGGGCTGCTCTTTGCAAAAGTGGATGAAAAAATTTCTATGCTAATAAGCGCTTTTGTAATCTCTGTGGTTCTTTTGAACCACATATATTTTGACATATTTAAATATTATCTCTCCTTGGCCACTCTTATATTATTTTTATTAGGCCCATCTCTTTCTAGAACTGCTTCTTGTTAGTGAAAGTGCAGTTTTGTTCGATTACCGTAGTTATTAAGAATTCTATAGGCAGAAGTTCACTCAAAGTAATTTTTTCAGCAGTAATTTAAGTTTAAGCAGTTCTCTTCTGCACAATGTGCAAAATTCACACTATCATAGGATTGTATTCTTATATATTTCTCTTTAACATTAACTGTATTTCTACTTCTGTACTACTTGTCTGATGCTTCTGTCTTCCTGCTGAAAGCCCTATAAATAGCGTAAGTACGCGTTGTGGTTTGGGTAATTTTTGCACTGTTTTTAATCTGCATCTGCTGCAAAATACAAACGTGTTTTTGCAGCGTTACTTTCATCATCCCTTCCCTGCTAGTCTTACATTGCAATTCTAATGCTAATACTTCATGTAGCTAACTGGGAGAATTTAGTTTCCTAAATTAATATATAGAAACGACAAGATCTTACAATAGACCAATTTTGAAGGAAAAGCAACCAACTGCATGGAAAAACCCTCTTTTACCTTGTTTTAGTTTTTTTAACCTAATACCTGGACAAAGAGCAGTAGGATACAGATTAACTTAATTACTCATTGTTTATCCTGAAGTAAATCACCATGTAACAGAAAAGACAACACTGAAGTATTGTCTCTAACAAAGCAAGTTTTTGTGTGATGGATTGGTTGGGTAAGCTTTTATTTGGATATTTTTCATTTTCTTAATTGCTTTCTTTTGCTATCTATTTGATTGGTTTGCAGTTTTCTTTGAGGTCCTTTAACGAATCCCCAACTCCTTCTTTTATGAAAAGCTTGGTACCTACAGCTCTGGCCAAGAAGGGCAAAGGAATAAGTTAATGATTGTTCTGCACCTCCCCTGACCTTGCCCTTTGCAATCAGCAGCAAAAGTGAAAGAATGCTGATGAGGATGGTTGATTGTAGGTTTTTTTGACTGCATTTGTAGTTAGAAAAGTAAGGAGATATATGTTCATATCTCAATTTTAGAAGTATGAAAATGGATTTAATTTCAAGCCATGTGTACCTGTGACAGGACCTCTCTGTATTGCTGTCCTCCCAAGGTGGGTGGTACAGCTGCAGGGAGCCGAAGAGTTCCAGAAATCCAATTTAAAGTCAGATACAGAATTTCCTAGGAGAGAGAAGTCTGGATCATGACATTTAATTCTGTCTGCCTTACATCCTTTCTCCTTTTTGCTGCCCTCTTGTTTTTAATTCCAGGATTTTGTTTTGTTGTCTTTGGATGTTCTGGAGTATCCCAAATTTATGTCCCTTGCTAGTTTTAGTAAAACATCTGCATTTCAGACTTTCCCTGACCTCAGACTCTTTCAGATTTAGATTATATTTTAATTTGGATTTCTTGGCCAAGGGAGAGAATTTAAAAATGGGTTTTTTTGGTCATAGGTTTGAAGTTTTGGTCATAGTTTGAAGTGGCTTCATAAACAATGCTGAAGGTTATGTGGAAAAGGTTTTTAACCTCTTTTTTTTTTCTACCAATAGGCATGTAAATATTGGAATTTGTTCTAAAGATTGGTGGGAAATAGCAATGTAACCAGTATCTGCTTTCATTAATCCGTTTCTATTCTTGATCTGATTGGATACTAATTTCTTAGGGAAAACTGTTTAAAGTACCTTCTGTATTGTTTTGTTTAACAGTTTATAGTCCTTTGCTGCTTTTTATTTTTCATAGCATGGGGTCTTTTTTACAGAGTTCTCATCCAAAATATTCTGAGCATGATGATTTAAAGTCAAGCTTGAGAAACGACAAGATTTTTTAAGCATGAAAAATGTAGCTGTAAATGAAGACTGAAAGGCTGTTAAGATGAAGAAGGCATGCTGCAAAGCTTGAATTGAGTGTCACTCCTATCATATAAAATGTAAAATGAAGCTGCACATGTCTTGCAGATCGTTGTCCTTCCCCTTCAATGATTTGGAGAGTTTCTTATTAAATGGAATGCAAGCAGAGTATTTTCAACTATCATATTTCATTTTTGGTAAAATATTAGAATTGGTTGCCAAGTCATCCCCGTTTCCTGACAAAAATAAAAAATAAAGGATAATCCAAGAGAGATTTCCAAGTTTACAGGATAATGAGAGATATGTGTGTAAATACACACACTTCATATGTGTATATAGGCAGATTCTTCCCATTCTTTAATAGCAAAACGTTCATGCTGTGACACCAGAAAGTATCAGGATTTTGTCTCCCAGGCTGCAGCTGAGTGAGTGACTGTGATGAATTCAGCGTGGCTGCTGTGGGGAGGAGCAGGGAACGCCCTAGCCAGGAGGTGAGGCAGGAGGTGCCGGTCCAGTGCTTCTCCAACTTTGCTTTCGAGTCCAGAAGATTCAGCAGTTTTGCTGTGGCATGAATCATGTTGCTGTAGCTGAAGTTTCTTATTATAATATCTCCCCGATGAAAAACGCCCTCCTTTTCCATATTTTTCTTCAACTAGAAGTTTAAATTATTTGTGAAAGAAGGGTGTAGCACTAAAAGCTGAAGCACAGCTCATACTCGGGAAAGAAGATGCATGTCAGGGCACTGCAGATTTTAGTAGGCATTTTTTACTACTGGCTGTTCTTTTTAATAACACCTGTTGACTCAGTAATTTTTTTTTGTTTCTTAGTAGCCACAGGAACAGTATTTTACTTGGGCTATAGCATGCCAGTTTTTTCCTATAGCACCTGGTATTTACTCCTTCATTCTCATACATACAGCTAAAGTTCTGATGACATTTAACTTGGAAGTTCTCAAAAAGGATTTTTTTTGTCTGCCATTAGCAGCCATGAATCCTTTTTTTTTTGTTTGTTTGTTTCTCTATTCCATACCCATATAACTTCTTCATGAAGAAAAATGCAGTGTGAAAATACTTCTCAAAATTGTATGTTTCTGTTGGCCTGGTTATGTAACTTTGAAGACGGGGAGAGCATAAAAGTCTTTGTGACTTAAGTCAAAAATTAGGAGGGTGTAATATCCTACTATGACCCTAATCAGCTGACTGACTTCCTGTGATGACAAACCCTGATGGGAGGCTAAGTAGGACCTGTTGGAAGAACAGACAAATAAAGCTGAGCTGATAGGGTTATGTAAGCTTTGGCACTGAATCAGGACGCATTCTGTAGATACATACCCTCTTTCTAAAATAAATCAAATGGATCTAACCAGAACTTTTTGAAAAAATGGCTGTTGATAATTAGATGCAAATATGCTGAAATTTGCAATTGCTGTTTAAATATATCATTTTGTGGTAATTTTAATCTTTATAAGTAGACTTTCAGTTAGCAGCATGCACCTTCCTTGATCTAATTGCAGCTGAGCAAGCAGAAACTGAAGTTCATTGAAGTGACATATGCATAATCTGTGTGTCAGCTGGTACAGTATGTTCTGTTTGATATTTACATGGTGCACTACTCACATTTCAAAATTCAGTCAACAATAAACACTAACGTACCCTTTGGTCAGGAACATGAGGCTATGCAAGTGTATTTCTGACTTGGAGGTTACTGCCATGCTAGTCATGTAATTAATTAAAAATAACTCCTTATAGTGCTGATATAGTTTGGGGTGAAGTATGGAAATAATCATATCTAGTAAAATATACTTGAAAGGGAAAAGTGAGTTTTGTACTTTTCCTTTGAAGCTTTCCAGATCTAGACAACATGATGGCGTTGTATTTTTGCATAAAATCAATACCTGTCAATATTTTTAAAGAATTAAACATGTTTGTTTTGCAGATCCACAGTGTACAATTTTACATTTTGAATAAGTTAACATTTTTGCTATATATTTTTGTCTCTACTTTTTCTTCTGAAACATAATCAGTAGGCTATATAAATTGATAATTCAGGTTGAAAGGGGGTGGTGTCTTGTGGCAAATAGCCTTCAGATGTTTAAAAGCAGGATTAAACTTGGCTCAGCTTCTGGAAGCCTTTCAGGCTAAAATAGACTTTGTTTACTCACTATATGAAAAGATGTATAATGCTTCAATAATAATTAAAATATCTGGCTTTTATAAGTGAAGATGATCTTTAACATTTCTGGACCTTTTACCTTTAATTCATATGTGGTTAATTAAAACCTATGCAAAATGGCTTAATCAACTTTAGTATAGACACAGTATACTCTGACCTCAGGTTGGCTACTGATATATATTGTAAAGTCTTGTGTGCCCATCTTAGGTGGCAGATTTTTGTGAATTTATGTTTCTTAGCTGTAAACTTCAAAAATTTACCCTCACTCATTTTTCTGCTGCAGTTAATATCTGTCTGAGTGCTGTTATGATGACTGGGACTGTTCTAAATCATTATTCCAACTAACTGGAGTTAGGCAACTGCTTAAAAATCTGTGCAGAAAAATACTCTTTCTAAGCTAGCTGTAATTTTACACTTTTAAACTTTTAACAGTTGTTTGAAATAGAAATAATTGAACATGATACTTCATTTAAAGTAGTACTAGTGTTGTATGTAAAACAGTACTTACACAGGCAAGGATTTTGCCTCAGCGCTTGATAAAGATGTTTGTCATAGATAAAACTATAGTGAAATGTAAACCAGCCATGTTTCGAGGGGCTGTTGTAAGGGAAGGGCTTCATAGTGTGGCTGGAGCATTGTTAAACCTTGTCTCTACCTGGGAGGGACTGATCCTGCTTCTGTCATTGCAGTGGTTAGACTTAGCTTTGAGAGCCTTTTAGACTGATAGTTGAACCTTTCTGCTCCAAGTGATCATGATTAAATTATGTGGTTGATACAATTTGAAAAAGATAGTTCATATTATTAAAGAATAGATCTGTTGTGATTGTACCTTCTGTGTCAGTACTTCTTGCTCTCGTGATACGTGCTTTTCATACTGTTTTGATTGTGAGGATTGACTCCAGAAAATCCAGATGTGGCAAATATTTTCATTATCACCATGGAGAGGGCATAATGTCTTTTTATTCACCGTGTTAACAGGATTTTTGAAGTATTCATAGCATTAGTTTTTTTCCACAATGTACATAAAATAAAAAATTAAAATGTAAAAAATTTAAATAGGAAGATTTTTTTTCACTGTTTCTGAACTCATTTCTATATAAATAGAATAGAAATAAAAGTATACTGCTATTCATACAGCAAAAGCCATATACGTTTGTTTTGTTTTTTCCCAATGGACAGTTTGAGAAGGAGTCCTGAAGGATGTGAGGTAGGCTTTGTTTGTGTTCTTGTAGAAAGCCTTTCAGGCACACAGATAATGCAGGTAACTGGTTTTGAGTAATACCAATTCTTACATGAATGCAGTGTATAGTGATGGATGCTTAAGGTCACTTGAGATCTTTACAGGAACATTTCTAGAAGCTTTAAAGTGAGATTTTATAAGGAAATAGACATGAAAGATTTAAGATTTCATTATAAAAACAATTATTTTCAATATATGTATATACAAACGTATAAAAATACATGTTTTATAACAACTTTCACATTACTGAATGTAATGACTGGTTTGGGGTTTTTTGCCCTTCAAAGTCAAAACAAGCATGTCAGATTTGTAGGTCAGTCAATGCAGTTTATTCAGATGCTATTTTTGAAATTGCTAAGCTAAAACAGAAAGCCACAGTATAATTTCTACTATTTTTACATTAGTCATGAACTAATGGACAGAAGGAATTACAGCTGATGCTCCGAGGCCTTGTATCCATTATTACATGAAGCACCCATGCCAGGTGTCTGACGTCACGTTTCCTCCACCTGCTTATAGCTTAATTATCTTTGTCATCTTGGCAGAGGATGCAGCAATCCTGCAATACATAGGCATTTTCATTTCCCTCTCCCCTTTCTGACCCCTAAAAAATGTCTTGTAGAAGCTAAATCTGGTGTTATAGAAGTAATCATTGTAACATCTGCATTGATCTTACAGAATGTATAATCAATATTAATGCAGGTCTTGAGGAAACTATTATTTTGTGTGCTGGCCTACCTTATATAAACTGGAAATATATATATTTCAGGATTCCTATGGAATATGGAGATGAACACTTGCTAAGTACATATTCTATTCTTCCTTCTATGCGTTTCTTTTTACTAATTGCTGAACTATTACTGCTTTGTGCTAGGAAGTTTATTTGGGCAATCTCATTATAATTTAATTTACCACTTTAAGATGTGTCTCAGCAATAGCCAAAACTTTTAAAGTTAATAGTATCATTGCACTTGTCTGGACAAGAGATGAAAGTTTACTGTGCTTTGACTTCATCCATGTTGGGATGAAGGTGATGACTGTCAATTTGTGGTTCTTGCACAAGACCTGCTATAGCCAAGTTGCTTTGTTACATCCGCAGCAAAGATGGGGCTTGTTTGAGTGCTCTTAGCAGCCTTCTTGCACAGAAGGGACTCGAGGCAGAACTGGTAGTTGGTACTTACCCTGGAAAAGTATAGGCAGGGGTAGGAATGTGTGACAAGTGCTAAGAATGACATTCCTTCAGGGAGGAGGATGATGGCAGAGTACAGGAATTTTTGTAGAGGGTGTAGGCAGGGTGTGGAAAAGTGGAAGCAGTGTGCTGGACATGAACACTAGTGCTGGGTAGTCCCAGCACACTGATCCTAAAAGTAATGCCCAGCACTTTGGTAAAATGCCTCAGTGAATAATCTGATAGTTTATTTCACAAGATATTTTGTTAAAATATAAATTGAGGTATGTCTTTACAATAAAGTAAAAGAGTAGAAAAGAGCCAAGTAAAAAAGCTTTTTTCTTTTTAATGACAATTTTACTAGTTGCTGCCCACCTGTAATGGACATGGAAGTCATGACCTTCATATGAGGATAACATATAATTGTGTTTGAGAATTGAGCTCTAAAATCTTTCAACTATGGTCTGGCTCAGATCAGTATTTTAAATTTAAACTTAGTAACTTTGTATTTCAGGTTCAGAAGTCTTTTAGCAGGGTTTTGGCCAGATCTTTATTAAAAGTATTTTTTAAATTTCATTCTTGCAGTCTTTATTAAGAAGTAGAATATATTTTTAAAGCTATAAGCCTGTGTCTTCTCTAGGTAAATGTTTATAGGCTTCTAAGACATATTGATCTTTCTGCTTTTCTTTCAAACTTTTTTATTATTTTGGTTTTCATACCTTGGTGTTTGCCTCTGTGTGGCAGGTAATGCAGGCAAGGGTGAAATGGGGGAGAAGAGGAAGAGTTGTTATTTTAATACATAAAGGATAGTACTTGAATTTAGCCGGCTTCCAGGGTTGTATGTGGGTATGATCTATCCTTCTGTCTGGGAAATTAAAACATATATTCTTTGTTTAGGAAATCCAAAGTGGAGCCCTGCCTATGAAGAGATGATGTGTAATGTCCCACAGAACTCAGAAGCTTGTGCCTCTGCAGACACTGATGGTGCCCAGGAATGGGCACAGGAGCATGACCGATGGAGAACTTTTGTTGGATTTCCGCAGGGCTGTCCCGTTTCCGTGGTAGCTCTAGCACAAGCTGGCTTTATTTATACTGGAGAAGGTGACAAAGTGAAGTGCTTCAGTTGCCATACGACTATTGAAGGATGGGCTCCTGGGGATTCTGCAGTTGAGAGACACAAACAGCTTGCCCCCAACTGCAAGTTTATTACTGAATCTGCTTATCTGGAAAGTAACATGGATCCTGTTGCCCAGAACTACCAGAATAGAACTGAAAATGGTACCAGCAATTCAGCCCTCCCATGTGCTCTAGATGACTCTGATGTGGAGGCAGATTATCTTTTGAGAACTGGGCAGGTTGTGGATATGTCAGATAGTCTGTATCCTAAAAACCCTGCTATGTGGAGTGAAGAAACAAGATTAAAGTCTTTTCACAACTGGCCCCTCAATGACCAGTTGACACCACAGGAATTAGCTAATGCTGGATTTTATTATACAGGTGTTGGTGACCAAGTGGCATGTTTTTGTTGTGGTGGAAAATTGAAGAACTGGGAACCCACTGATAGAGCTTGGTCAGAACACAAGAGGCATTTTCCCAAATGCCTTTTTGTCCTGGGCCAGGATGTTGGAAATGTTTCAAGTGAATCTATTCCTGCTGAGCTTGGAATAAGTGGTCTGAACAATGCACAGCACCCAAGGAATCCCTCTATGGCAAAATATGGAAAGCGTTTACAGACATTTTTATCTTGGATATATCCTGTTGACAAGGAGCAGCTTGCAGAAGCTGGATTCTATAGCATAGGTAAGCCAGACATTGAAATAACTAATACCTTTTATAAAGAAATTGTGCATGAGGAAGTGTCTTGTTATGAAAAAAAACCCAATTTAAAATTTTTTTATATGGAACAGTTTGTCAGAATCTCTTTACTCTGTAAACTACATTCCACAGTTCTTATGTAAAATTCCATACATTATATCAAGCATGTTTACTTGCAAAGCATAGACTTGATCACAAATTTATTCTTAGCAGTAAAACAGCCAAGTATTTTTCTTGCCCGTTAAAACCTTTATAATACATCTTTCACAATGACAATTCTTTGAGTTAATATTTTTTAAGAAACAAAGTGCTTGTCCTCCAGACCTTAGGTGTAAGGAACGCACAAAAACCTGTGAACAAGACAATCCAGGCTGTGTGCTATTGTACTTAGTTAACATTATCATGGCATGTGAACACCCAAAACCAGCAAATACCACTATTGCCTACTTTATGAAGACAGTGGTACCAGTGGAGGAGCTTTTACTCTTAGATGCATAGTGTTTGATTTAGATAAGACACCATCTCTGTGCATTGGTTTCTCAGTTAGATGAATTGCACAGTAATTTTAAAGACCTTTGAAATTCCCCACTGAGAGATACTATACAAATGCAAAGCATTGCTCTTACTTGGTCACAAGGAAAAGGGGATTATCTGAGGTAATGTCTTGCTCTCATCTTACTTGACTTCTCTCTTAGTAGGTCTCAGAACTTTATAGTAGAATTCCATTTATTTTACTTAATAAATAAATGGCCATAAATAAAATCTTTGCTATATTCCTGTGTGGGTTATAAATGGGCAATATTTGTGCCCAGTAGAACTATTTTATTTATATCTTCTTGGGTTCATGAAAGTACTGAAAGATCTGTATGGTGGAGTTGCACTAACTGGGCACTATCTTATCAGACCTAGGACTATTCAGATGACTTCTGTGAAAACTGTTCCCTGTGGCTTGAGAAGAATTTAACTCTAGGGAAACATTATCTATATCTCCTCTCATTCCAATAAAAACAATATTGAAGCAGTTTCTGGGGCAGTCTTGGATCACAGTAGGTACAGTGCCAGAACAGAGAGGATGAAGTTCTCAGCTGGTTTTGCTATTGCTGGGTAGGGCCTGTTGATCTTAATGGGAAATGGAGGATCACAAAGCCATGTAAACATCCCTCATTCTTTGTGACAGACATCTTCAGGCCTTGTTTACCATTGGATCGAGTTTCACAAGAACAGATGATTTACAGCTTCTGTTTTTTATCTATATAATTACTTACAAAAAATAAAATTCAGGAGACTTGTTTCTCTTATTTTGTGTTTCTTTAAGCTTAATTCTCCCCTGAATATTTGTTTCAAATCATATATGTTGTCCTCTAGTAAAATGCAGTTACTTTCAGTTGAAATTGTAAATCAGTAAAAGAAATACTTTTCTTAACACAACATTTTAGTTGAAAACTTGGTATTATGTCTGCACAAAGTATGTAACTTTATTCTTGTGTGTTTCCTCAGGTAAAGGTGATCACGTTGTGTGTTTCCACTGTGGTGGAGGATTGCAAGAATGGAAGGAAAATGAAGACCCTTGGGATCAACATGCCAAATGGTTTCCTGGGTAAGGTATCTCTTAGTATTTTCTTGATGTGTGTCTGAGTCTTATTTACAGTATATTGCATTTTAATGACAGAGCATACTAATAAAGGCTTGAGAAGGTTGATTATGTCTTAACAATGTTTAGATTTATGCAAAAAATTTATGTTGTCTTTATTCGTAGTGTTATTAAAGGGAAGATACCTGTGTCTGGATTTAACTGAGGCTTGCTTTCTCAGTAACAAGAATTGTGTAGTTTTGTCAGTATGTATCTGAGGGATTTTTCTTGTTATCTAAGCGTTACATTGTAATGGTTGTTTTAATAGCTTGGTACATGTAAAAGTTTGTAACTTATACCAAGATACAAAATGACTAAACAGCTGTCACAGAGCAGGCATACCTGAAGAGGTCGGTAGTGGCATAGAATATAAAACATAGCTTTCTCTAATTTGAAAGGATTAAGGATTCCAGACAGTAGTGTAGTAGTAGTAGTAGTAGTAGTACCAGAAGTAGTCTTTAGAAAGACTGCCGATGTTGTCTAAAATCTGTTTTGAGGAAAGGTATGACTCAGTAGTTCTCACGAGTGGATGGAAGCCATCCAAATACAAAGACTTAGTTACTTGTGTAATGTTGATAAAATTAGTGTCTCTTATGCATTAACTCCCAAATTTCTCTGCTGTGGTGAAAGACTCTCTGGAAGTTGGAGATTGGTATTTATGCATTAGCTGTTCCCATTTTTTTAGTGGAACAGGCAGATTTTAATGATTAGCTTCTGTGACTTGAAAGAGACACGATTCCAAGTTTTTAGTGTGGTGAAGTGAGTAGTTTAAGGAACGCTTTTCATTTCATTCCTCTTTTATGGGTTTGATTCTTGGTTTAGGTTGCTTAAATAATGTCAGGTTTGATTACTTCCTCTCAAATCACGAAGAGTCTTTTTTTGGGGTTTATTTGTGCACATTAGCCTCAGTGGCAGTGCGTCACTCTCACAGCAGCTATTCCTGAAGGTGAAGTGACTGCTAGAGCTGCACAACTCTTGCGAGGAGTTTCGGCATTCGCTCAATCTTCTGGTAGGGAAGAGCTCTGCCCAGTGGCCAAGACTGGCTGGAAAATAATGAAAGAAAGCACGGAAGGCACCTGTCTGACCAGTGATTGTTTGCTTTGATTGTGAAAGACTAAAAGAATCAGTATTTTAACATAATGTTTGTTTTTCATTTGAGCGAGCTTTTACTTTTAGAAATCTGTGTCATGAGCTGTCTTGGCCAACAACTCTTAAGCTCTCTTTTTCACCAAAAATATGGGAAAGATAAGTACTGCTTACGTGTTCAAGATGTTCTTAGAAATATTACAGTGACATCACAGATGCTGACTAAACATTTAGAGATTTTAGAAGCAGGCAGTCTGTATGATGGAGGAAATTGATCAAAGCTTCCATAGCTACGTAACTAATTTTTGCTGCTAATCCATTTCTATTAAATCTAAATATTCTTATTTTTAGGTGCAGATTTGTGAGCAAGGAAAAGGGGATAGAATTTATAAATAATGTTCACTTAAGAGATGGATGTAGGGATTCAACAGTAAGTTTCTTGCTTATTAATCATTTTGTTAAAATAGAAAAAGTCAGCATAGCTTTTGTGTTACCTTTTAATTACGTGCCTATCATTTAATTCATCTGCTGCTACTTTCATTGGCAGAAAGTGAAAGAATTGCAGTATGTTTTGGTTCTATCAATCAGAGTGTACCCATCTCCTAGGTCCCCATAGCTGGGTTATGGATCACAGCCAGGGCACATTGTATTGAATGTTGTATATTGGATACTGAACAAGTGCCATTTGTTTTACAGCCTGGAAACCTAAGATTTATGATGAATAATAGCAGATACAAGTTCTTTTCTTGTTGGTAGAGCATTGTTAAACTTGTGTGTAGTTGTTAAAATGTAAAACTGATAATGTTTAGAATTTTGTAGACTAAGAATCATGTACATATAAATATTGCTGAGATGGGTTAAAATCAAAACAAAATACTGATCATTTTGTTCAGAGCAGATTAAATAGTTTGTCACTAAAATAACTTGAGATCAAATAATTATTTTTTAATTTTGTAACTGTATGCATTTCCTTATACTTTCTCCAGAATTGTAATTTTGTTTCTTTATATTTCACTTTTAGACAGAAGCTGCTGAAGGGACAATACTTCCTAAAGGTATCTGTTTAAAACACACAGCCTCCCCCTCATTTTGGAATATCCCTACTTGAATGTATAGTGGCAGGAATGGTTAATTTTTAAAATAACCCTATTACATTTTTAAAATAAAGCACAACAGGCGAATTATTGGATGATTTCCATTGCTTCTAAAGAACTGCAGAAAGTATTTTATTTCTCTTAGAGGAAATGTAATTGTACCTTGGCAAATATTGTAAAGTAAAGGTAGTGAACTATGGAAGAAGTTTGTATAGGATGCAGTCTTATAGCTAGTGAGCATGTATCAAATATTGAGTTTGTAGTGCTATGGGATGAATGTTAAAGAATACTGAACAGAAACATCCCTTTTTCATGGGGCAGGAAGAGTTGGTCTGTCCAGTGGCAAGACCTAGGAAGCTGAGTAAGCTGAAGTAGTTTATTATGTGTATTACGAATTCCTACAATGCTTTTCACAAATACCCAGCAATAAAAAGACAAAACAATTAAAGGGGTAGTAGGAGGCCAGAGGAGCAGCTTCACTGGAGCTATTGCTAGTAAAAGTGGCTACACAAAACCTGCTTAGAAATCTCTCCCATACTGCTCATTTATGAGAGTGAAAATAAAAGAACCTTTTTTAAAAAAAGAAAAAAGTCTTAGTTTTTAAAAATTAAAAATTGAAATATTTTGCTGTTGGAACAATGTTGATAAGTAAAGGAGGAGGAAGGTCCAACAGACGGAATAATGGTTTCACCAAGTAGTGTTGTCTTACCATGGATAGACCTGCTTGCTTGTTGATGGTGCTGTGTTTTGGTCTTATAAATGCAAATTACTTATTGTTTTCTCTCAACATATGTATGAGGTTTTTTTCTTCCCTGAACCCAATTAAAATGGATGTAATGTTCTTTATCCATTGTGACTTGTAATTTTGGATGAATTTCATTTAACATCCAGCTACAAAATTTGTGATGGTGGTTATAAGAGATATGTTATTTAATTTGAAGTAGTTGATTTGAACAGCAAATCTAGGAGGATTTCTGTAATATAAATAGATGAGGGGGGAAAGCTAGGATAGAAGAAAACTCAAATCTGCAGTCTTTACAATAAGCAAAATTCTCAAATTGTAAATATGGTTCCTTTGGCTACATATTTGTTTGCAAATATGTGTCTTAGAGTACTGTAGTCAATACTGTCAGAAAATCAGATTCATTTTTCTTAAAGTGTTTTTGTTTTTAATTTCTTGTTTTAGATGATCTCTTACAGAATCCTTTGGTACAAAGTGCCATAGCCATGGGTTTCAGTTTGTCTGAGATTAGGAACACCATGGAAAAGAGATTGCAGATGACTGGAGAAAGTCACACATCTGTTGAGGATCTGGTAGCAGACTTAAGTGCTCATAAAGAAAATACAAGGGAAGAAGAACCAAATGAAATCCCAGTTGAGCAAGATGAGCTTATTCAGTTACAAAACCTCTGTGTGTACTTTCATATCAGTTCTTTAGTCTGTGAAATATTTTTTAATGTTATCTGTTTATTCTACTCTCTGATCCCAGTCTTACCTATGGTAAACTTAAAGTATTGTAAGTTAAAATTAAAGACATTTGGTTTGGGACATTAAAAAAAAAATCATGAACAAACAGGGTGTTAAAATATTTGAGTGTAGCAGCATTTATAAATATCATCTCTAAAATAAGCAGTATTGGTATCCCAGAGGTGACAGTCACTCAGACACTGACAGTCTAGCATGCTTCTGGAAAAGGTTGTATGTGCTAACAAAAAAAAATCCAAAATTGTTGTGACAATCATATTTAAAAACAAAAGCAAGAATAACTACAAGAATATAGTTATAAGACAAACTATAGATATGGCAAAATGAAATAGACACAGACACGCTAATGTTCAATGTATTCAATACGAAAATGTCACAGTGGGGGGGCCATTTATTTTGCAGTAAATAATTTTGCTTGGGGTAGAAGTATTTTCGTTCTTGGCCAATAAGAACAAGTGCATCTAAATGGTGTTTCTATTCAGTTATTTATGTTCCAGCTTTGCTGGGACTTACAACTTATGCTCAGAAAGCCCTTGTGGTGCACTCTGCAAATAGACCAAACCCAGGAGTTCTGATTCAGGAGACTTGTAATTTAAGGCAAGCATATGGGTGAATTCATAGGGAGGGCAAAGACCATCTGGTTGGCATGATAAACAGAGATCTTACCAACCCACTCCTTTTAATAAGATTTTTAATAGGACATTGTAGGGGAAGAAGAACTTGCAGTGCAGCTGGACCTTATTTTGGTGGTTGGCTGTTAAGAGCTTCCCCCAAGTGGCAGGGAATTTTGTATTTTCGAATGGGGCATATTGGAATAATAAAGAACTCACGTACAATGCCAGATTGACTCTTTCTGTGTTACAGATTTTAAGCTTTTTGAAAATGGGGGCAGGGAAGGAGGTCACATCCTCATTTTTCTCATTGGGAAAACTCAGAAAAAGAAAATCCAAATAACTTAAGCAATAGCAAGGAGCCTTTCTTTCACCTTCTGATCAAATTTTGGGGAAATTTTGTCAGTGAGAGGTCTATGAAAAGAATGGTTCCTGATTGAAATATGCATTTCCTAAATTCTAAAGGTATTTCAAGCTCTTATGAATGCAAACAGATGCACTCCCTGCTTGCATTAGCCTGGGAGATGTAATGGGATAGAAGGGGAAATAAAGAGGATCCCATGCCGCAGCTAGGATTCCTTTCTCCTGTAGTTTTTCTTTGTTCTTTTTAAGGGTGTGATCTTGAAATCATATGAAGAAACCTTATCCTTGTGTGTAAAGAGAAATAAAAAGAATGTGATTCAGTGGTATTAAGTATGTTAACTTCTTTTTATGTGTCTATTTTCCTTAGATCTCAGTACTGAAGAGAAGTTAAGACGTTTGCAGGAAGAAAAGCTCTGTAAAATCTGTATGGCTAAGGACGTGTCAGTTGTCTTCATTCCCTGTGGTCACCTAGTTGCCTGTAAGGAATGTGCTCAATTACTTAATGAATGCCCTCTGTGTCGTACAGATATTATGAAAATACAGGAAATTTTTATGTATTAGTGAAATGCACAGCACTATGGATGCAAATGTTTCCTGTTTTATTACTTTAAAAATGTGTAAAGTAATGTAAAAAATGCAGTTTATTCCAGAATGTAACCATATGGCAGGATTTAGATTTTTCTGCTGTCAAACCCTACCCATTTTAACACTTTACAAATTATTTTCCTTTAAGTTAATTTTTTGTATGTAATAACAGTATCTATGAAATGCAAATATGTATATTTTGTAACTTCAGTTCACAGACCTGATATGGAAAAGCCCAAGTAATGTAAACCTTTATTTATGTGATCATTCCTTTGCTTCACTTTGGTAGGACTCTGTATGACTGAATTTTGTGCAAATAGAGTTGTACAAAGAGCCTGTCCGTATATAAAATTTGTAAATAAATTAATTCTATACATGTATATTATACCTGAGATTTTAGCTTTTTAAAAATTATGTAGGATTGAAAATAGCCTCTTTTTTCTGTAACTTTGGTTGTGACATAATTCAGACAATACACATAAACCTGCTGCTGTAACATTATGGTTACTTCTGCTGCTTTGTAGATTTGTATGTTTTAATTTAATTCCTGTTTTCCTATCTATTTTTCTAGTTCAGATGTATAAATTGTCTTCAGTAAACTGGTTTTAGCCATCTGTTTTTCACAAAGATCTATCTTTATATAAAATGTACATTAATTTTATTAATTAAAAGAGAATTCAAGAGAAATGAAGATTTTATGTACCCTGTGCCCTTCATGAGAGTAGGCTCATTTTAAATTTGCCCCTACACAAAAAGATGTTCAGTTTGATATTTTTCTTGTTTTTTGTTTTTTTTTTTAACACAGCATCATCCTACCTGATTTATCTGCTAATACTTCGCACTGCTTCATATTTTATATTTTCATAGGAGAAGATGAAACTTTCTCTCCTAGAATGCCTTTTTAAAAAAGCAGTGTTAGAAATCTCAATAGCAATGTTAGAAATCTTTCATTTTTGTTCATGTCAATTTGCAGCAATTAAATTTAAAAGTTAAGAACTATTCTAATGAGAGCTACCTTAAAATACTTAAACTGTTTCTTACTGGACTGATCCTCCATTTCTGATTTTGAAAGTATCACAGCTTTGTATTTAAGTACAGCTGTTTTATAATCACTGCTTAATTATGTCACTTCCTTATTTTGTGGAACTACTGATATCTTCGTATATATATTTTTGAGTTCTACACACTAAGGTTTAGAATATAGACTATACAGAACATAGTTTTTCACATTATGAAAATTTTGAATACACAGAAATGTATTATCTACTTTTTCTATTTTCTTAAATCTGTGCTGTGTAATGGCATGAATATTTAAAATAAAGTGCAACCCAGAGGTTCCTTGATCAGTGTATTTGATTCTCACATAAAAAAACCCAGAAGCCTCCTTTCTGTTGATTTTTTTTTTTTTGTAATTAAATTATTAATTTAACCTGAATGTTATTAAGGATAATGAATATATTTCAATCGGAGAGAAAATAAAATCTATTGTTTGTATAGATTAAAGTTTGTTAATTGTACATCTGATGATATTTTGCTATTTTTTTGTGGTTGAATATGGTCTTGGGAAAAGATGATGACTAGAAATTCATAAAGAAATCAGTTTTATTTTTGCCTTTCTGTGCCTTTGTGAGGAGTTTAGCATTTCAGATAATTCATACTTACAGGGATTTTCAGGACAGATATGGACTGGCAATCCTGACAGCCTTGTTTCTAGCACCCGTTCTTCCTTACAGGGAAGGTTTTCTGTCCGTGTCAAGGGAAATCAAAGGGGGGTTGTTAGCCTTGAGCTGGTGTGTTTTGCCTGAAATAGCTTGTTTAGTTAAGGCTGCACTCCGTGAGGTGCTGACTTGTTTCAGCAGATGGTTGGTTACCTAAGCTTGACCTGAGTCATGTGAGAGAGGCTGTTTGGATCAGCTGGATCCAACTCACAGGCTGCAGAACCTGGCAAGCGGCTCAAAGTCCTGTCTGTGAAAGAGATGGACCAAATTTAACTTAAACTGTTACAAAACTAAATCTCAGGAAGGAGGTGATTTAGGGCGTAAATGTAGTGTGTAAGTTGTCTGAGAAAAGCTGGGAAGTAGGTCACACACAGAACCTTCTACACTGCAATGGAGAGCAAACACATTGTCCTACATTGCATGATTGCTTCATGGTAAAGCTTGTTAATTTTTTAAAGGTATACTTTTATAGACGTATCCCTTACTGCAACTTTAAAATCAATATTATAAAAGATACAGCTATATAGCAATTCAAATTGTAATCACTAAGGGACATTAAAGGGTTAAAAGCCTTTTAGTGAGATGACAAAATAACTGCTCTGTAGGTTTAGGGGTTTTTTTTTAAAAACCCTATAATCAGAGTTCTATTCAGACTAAATGTGAAAAAATAATTAGCGTAGTCATCAAATTTTGACAGCTTGAATTAGGAAGATTTTTTTTCAATTTACTTTGATTTTCAGTATCTTAAAGAAACAGAAGAAATTCCATGGCCTCTAATACTGCGCTGAGTGTTTAAAGAGACAGAAATGAAGGATGCAAATAAATGGAGTGGAAGCACAGGAGCTTTGAAAAGGAGGTTAGCAGCAGGATGCAGATGCCTTGGGAGTTTATTTTTATGAGTTACCTGGGAGCTGTGTGCAATATGTTCAAGTATCAGTATCCAGTAACTTTCTTCTAGTGGCTTCTGTATACTATCTTTCTTTGGTGTTCCTTGTAGCAGCAGAACTACTTGCTACTCTGGATGCATGAGAAATTTGTAAGGGTTTTCAATAAGGTCCTGGAAATGTGTTGCTTAGAAAGCATGGGAAGTGCATAGCTTATTTAGAAACAGAAGGCTAAAATAAGGAGAACCCAAAGAATCAGTGTTTTTGTTATGCGTGAAGCTTTTTCTCACTGCCTTGAAATGTGGGATCTGGATCACACAGACTTAGCTGATTGCCGCAGCTTGTGTCTCTACAGCTTGGAGCTGTGTGGACTTCTTTAAAATTTGTATTGACACTCATAATACAATGAAGCTCATAATACAATGAAAACTTCTTTAAATATTATAGCTTGGGGATTGGTTGTTGGGCTTTTCTTGTTGTGTTTGGGTTTTTTTTTTTTTTTTTGGGGGGGGTTTTTTTGGTTTTTTTTTTTTTGGTTTTTTTTTTTTTTTTTTTTTTTTTTTTTAATTAGAGTATTTAAATATTCATTTTAACATTGTCTGGTTAATTTTGACCACAGCTCTTCAGTGGGTTTTTTTGTTAGCTGTATGTGCAGTCTGAAGCTACAGGACTAATAGTGTGTTAAAGTGTTGCTGTTAATCAGCATGGATTTTAAAGTTACCTTTTCTATTTTTTAATTGTAATTAACAGAAATATAAATACAGTGGGTGGTTGGAATTTAGTTATAACTGGGTGGAAGGTTAGTGCTGGCACTTGAATATGGTGTTCATGTGAAACCAAGCTGAAGTGGTATTCTCTAGGATGGAACATTATCGGGGCAGTGACCTTTGCTGCTGTGTTCTTCAGGAACTACTTGGAAGAGAATCTGCTCTGCCTTACAAGGTGTGCAAGTTCAAGCACCTGATGTGTGAAGGTCAGCTCTTCATAGAGCAAAGGAGGAACTGGAGGTTTTTCTGGCTTTTGCAGTGTTTCTGCAGCAGTGAGGATTTGAACAGTGAGTTGTCACATGATGTTCTTTGTTACCCTCTGCGTTGTGTGTGACTGAGAGAGGTGTTCCCAGTGCAGCTGCTGAGGCTTCTCCATGTTGGGCTTATGCAGAGCAGCTGGATTGGGCTCAGTTCTTGAATGTGGCTCATGGAAGGGTGCTGGTCCCCTTCTCCACAGGATCAGATGGGAAGAGCCAGTCTACCCACATCCACCTTAATTCCTCATGGAACTGAAGTATGAGTGAATACTCTACCTCTTACCAGTTTTTTTGTGGTTTACATGCATGAGTAGCTTGAAAACTTGATCATGGAAATCTTTCCTCCCCCTTCCTCCTGCCATGGCTTTGCACTGATTCAGGTTGTTGAAAGTACCTTCTCATCTTGGCAAATGCCACTGTGTCATGTCACTTCAAGAGCTCTACCAATGCTGCTGTACAGCAGTTAATATGCTGTAATTATATTGTGACTTTCTGTGAGAAGGCAAATGGCTTGTGATGATAACCTGTGCTGAAATTCAGATTTTGTCTTTAATTTTTTCTTAACCATGAATTCCTATTAAGCAATAGTGACATTACAGTACAAGTGTTAACTCAGGGAACATGGCTCTGTGACTAACTTACCAAGAAACTTTCTTTTTCCTAAGACAGGAAAGAAGATGGTAAATATTCATTTATTAATGATTTGGATAAACAAAACCCCAGGAAAAATCTAGGACAAAATGGTATTAATTATATTGCAAGAATATAATATTTAAAGCTGATCGAAAACTATTTGATTGCCTTTAGATAATTACTAATTTACAGTTTTATAACCTGGATAGCTATTGTGTTGTCTGAGATAAGTTGCTTGATAAGTAAAAATTACTGGAAATGTATTGGAGAGATGCTGGAATTAGTTTTGCTCTCAGATTGAAAATCTGCTTACTATGAAAAAGTGAAAAACACATTTGCAGAGTCCCACTGTGAAAACATCTAGAAGAAGCATTAGAGTTATTGCTGAAAAGCCAGGTTTAGTATAATGTGTCACCTTCAAATTTTGGAGAGTGAAGTAATATAACCTTCAAAGATTACCAAGACAGCATTTAAATTTATTCATGTTCTGTCTTTTTGATTTTGCTGTAAATCTCTTGACACAATTTCTCTTATGTAACTTAATTTTGCAGTGTATGATGAGAATCATCACTTAAGCCAAATAGTTAATCTTCTGAATACAAGTTTTTCAAAAGTGGGTATCAAGCCAAAGGCATCTCTTCCTTTTAACTCTTGTGTTACAGAGAGAAGCTTCTGATTTTACCTCCCTGTCCTGCATAACCGACCTGTGTGATGTTACTGGAGTCAGCATGGGAGCTCTGTCCACAGGGTACAAGCCCCCAGAAAAGTAATTGTTGCTTCAAATGGGTGTTTCGCAAAATAGATGTGCCAAAAATAACAATTTAACATCTGCATCACAATTTAGGACTTTTATAACTTTGTCAACAGTTGCTTTCTTAAAGGCCTAATTGGCAATTGGAAGACCCATGTTCCAGGCTGGAAGCTTCACTTCTGCTAGGCCTACAGCTGGAACCAGAGGTACAAGGAATGGAGAAGTGGGGGCTCCTTGGGGGAGTGAGAGTGGGAATTGCTGTCCTCGGTGTTTATGGTGAGCATCCCAGGTGTGCCCTTTGCTACGGAGAGGAAAACACTTTGTTCACAGCTGCTGGCACTGAGGCTTTGCAGGACTGCTACTGCCACATTAAAGAAAGTTACAATTTACACTGCTTGTGCCATTTACAAAAAACCTTTAATCGCAGCTAATGACACAATCACACTTTGCTTTGCTTCTACCACCCCCTGTGTCAGAGTTGAGGCAGCAGAAAAGGCCTTGAGCCCCAGACACAACTGGCAGTAGGGAAGTGACTTGTGAAAACAGTCTGAAAGAAACCTTGAAGTTGGTGGTGAAAAACTAAACCAAAGGAAACTTGTGTTAGGGACAGACATATATAAAGGACCTTGGGAATGTGGTAGATCAGCCCCAGAAAACCTTACAAGTTTATCTGAAAGAGTAATCTATTCCTTGATCTTATCTGTCAGTAACAAGCCCCTATTGCCTAGACTTCCTCTTTAACCCCCTGAGTTCCAGCCTCAATAGTTTGTGGGGAAAAGGCCAAGGTACATCATCCAAATCTTGTGTTTGCCTGCACATACAGAGGAGTGCTGTCCCATACATTTGAAAGAGAGGATTTTCTTCAGAGCTTAAAACAAAAGTAT